CACATTTTCATCATCTATTCATGGACTGGTGGGCACCTGGGCTGTTCCCATCTCCTACCTATTGTAAACAGAACAGCAATGAACATGAATGTACATGTGGTTTTGCAGTAGGAAACAGAGCCTTTTGAGTGTGTGTTCAGGAGAGGTAGAGCTGTACCACACGGTAGATCTGTTTCTGGTTTTCTGAGGAACGGTCACACTGATTTCTACTGTGGCTGCACCAATTCGTGCTCCCATCAACAGGGCATAAAGTTCCCCAATACCCAAACCCTTCAAGCAGAATTTAGGGAAATGGCCTTTTGACGTTTACAGACAGCTTGTTTAGCTGTTTTTCCCTTTCCCATCACATTGAGACACAAATTAATTTTGGGTGGCAAGACGTAGATCCAGATTGCTTTTTATTTTTAGTTGACAAAAGCTACATATTTACAGTGTGCAACCTATTTTTGTGTATTTACACATTGTAGACTGGTCCATCAAGATAAACATCTGCAGCATATTCTCTAAGCTGTTTTCAATATTTATATATTGTCTTAGTCACTAGTCTATTGCTGTGAAGAGACACCATGACCAGGGCAAAAGAAAGAAAGCATTTAGTTGAGGGCTTGCTTACAATCTCAGAGGTTTAGTCCATGATTGTCATGGCAGGAGGAATGACAGGCATGTTGCTAGAGAAACACATCCTGATTGTCAGGCAGAGAGGGAAACACGGGGCTTGACTTGGGATTTTGAAACCTCCAAGCCCACTTATAGGGACACACTTCTTCCAACAAGTCCACCCCTCCCAATCTTTCTAATCCTTTCAAACAGTGTCATTCCCTGATGACTAAGCATTCACATATATGAACTTATAGGGAGGCATTCTTATTCAAACCACCACAGATATATCGTTATTTATTTTAGTCTTCAAACTGCAAATCCCAGCACTCGGGGAGGCAGAGGCAGGCAGATCTCTGTGAGTTCGAGGCCAGCCTGGTCTCAGAGCAAGTGCCAGGACAGGCTCTAAAGCTACACACAGAAACCCTGTCTCAAAAACAAAAACTAAAAGCAACAACAAAAACAAAACAAAAAAGTGCTGTCAGTAAGTCTCTTGGATTTTTCTTGTGTCTAACAGGCAGTGTGTGTCCTTGGGCTAACATCTGTGCTTTTCCCTCCCATTCTCCTGCTCATGGGCCTCAAAACCACTACCCTTCTCCATGCTGGTAGGAGGTCAGTCTTCTCAGCGTCCACACACAACTGGGATCCTGCACTGTGGGATTTGTCTTATTTCACTTAGCCCCATGTGGGCAATGGCAGGATTTGGTTCTTTTCCCAGGCCAAAGTGTATTTCGTCTCGCATACACCCTGTGTTTATTTACTCCCTCATCCACTGATGAACAGTTAGATTGCCTCCGCATCTTAACTGCTGTGAATAACACCACAATTAACGTGGGAGTGCAGCTGTCTCTTCAACACCCGGATTTCATCTCCTTTGAATAAAAACCCAGTAGCGAGATTGATGGACCACGGGGTGGCTCTGGTTTCAATTTTCCGAGGAGCCTCTGTTCTGTCTCCCACAATTTACTAATTTACGCTACCACTGGGAGTGCAAAGGGGTCCCCTGCTCTTCTCATAGACCGTACTCTGTCAGTGCTCCCCAGTCACAATTTTGGGAACTGCACTATTATTGCAATAAATGTTCATTTTGGGGAATTGAAAGAAGACGGTTGCCTTCTCAGGAAATAGGCCGAGAAACAATTAATGAAGCAATGTCTGTACACATGCAAGTCCCAACATGCTGCAGGAAGTTTGCTGGGGTCATCCACTTGTAGCCCACATGGAGAGTCAATGTGACACGGGCGGGAGCAGCTGCCTGGTTGCAGGGGTCAATCAACAGACTAGAAGACCAACTTCCTGTAAAATACTGTTTCTAGGTAGAAAATGCAGTTTTGTGTCACCTGAGTCCCTGCCATGTGCTTAGAATGTGTTCTGTCTAATTGAAGCTGCTGGGACTTCCTTATGTGTGGCTAGTTGCCCCAGTAAAGAAATTTCTGTTACCACCCCTCGCTTTGGGAATAAGAGACAAACCTATCAAATCCTAAGATAGTCACACATTTTTGCCTCTGTGTTTTGTCTTGAGTAATAAACACATATCTTTTGGATTTTTGTTTGTTTGTTTATTTTGAGATAGGGTTTTACTATGCAGTCTTGGTTGGCCAGGCCAGCCTAATACTGGAGATCTGTAGATCAGGCCAGCCTAAAACTCATAGATATCTGCCTGCCTTTGCCTCCCGAGTGCTGGGAATTTAAAGGTCTGTGTCCCCACACCCAGCCTGTTTTTGCAATCTCCTAAACTGACTATCTTCCAAAAATATAGTCTATGCTATCTATGATGGTTAGTTTTCATTATAAACTGAACATGACCTAAAAATCGCTTGGGAAGAGTTTCAGTAAGGGTTTGTCTTTATTGGGTTAGCCTGTGGCATGTCTACGGGGGATTGTCTTAAGTTAAGATATGGGATGTCCCAGCCCACCAAGAGTGACACAATTCCCTAGGCAGGGAGTCCTGAATTGTGTAAGAGTGGGAAATCAAACTGAGTGCAAGCGAATGAGTGAGGATCCATACATATATATCTCTCTTGACAGTGGGTGTGATTTGACTAGCTGTTTTAAGCTCCAACCTCCTTAACTTCTCACTTCTAATGGTGGTGCAGGACAATTGTCTATATTCTGTCAATTATGCTTTAAATTAATGCTGATTGGCCAGTAGCCAAGCAGAAAGTAGAGGCGGGACAACCAGACAGGAAGTAGAGGCTGGTCAATGAGAACAGGAAAATTCTGAGAAGAGTGAAGCTCCGTCTGGAGTCCTGTCCAGACACAGAAGGAAGATATGACATGCCCTGCCAAAAACAGTACCAAGTCATGTGGCTAACATATATTAGAATAATGGGCTAATGTAAGTTATAAGTGTTAATAAGAAGCCTGAGTTAATGGGCCAATCTGTTTATCATTAATATAGACCTCTGTGTGATTTCTTTGGGACTTGATGACTGTGGGAACCAGGCAGAACAAGGACTGGGCAGGACAGAAACCTCAGTCAACATAACGGACTACACCTTAGAATTCCAAGCTAAAATAAACCCCTTTCCTTCCCTTAAATTGCCCTTTGTTGGGGTATTCTATCATAGCAGCAGAACCGAGACGCATGGTATTAGATGCTATAAGACTATCCTGTTCTTGTTCTACACTTTGGGACTTAAGCTGCCTAAGTTCCAGTGTAGAGTACTCTACTTTTAGTTCATTTTATTTTATTCTGTGCAAGCTATGTCTTGATGCCTTCAGTTTGTGTTCTGGGTGCACATTGTCTATCCATCCTGTGACTCAAGCACGGTACACGCCATTGTCTCAGACATGGTTTTTCTGAGTACATGTCCACATGTGTTGTGATGGAGGAGCTGTGGCTGATGCTCTGCCAGCTCCAGTCCTCAGATCCGCTTCCCTGGATGATGTACCACACAGAAACACATTACAGCATCTGAACTTCCCAGGAATAAGTTGTCTTGTCGTCTTCTGCTCTGTGTTCCTTAGCTTTGTCTCCTTTCATTCTCCTTGCATCTTTGTCTTGACTGGAGCAAGAATTCTGACATTCTGCCTCCCGGCCACAGTCAATGGATATAAAACTGTGCCGGTCATTTACTTGTCTTTACCATGCTTCACCATTGGGCCAGCATGATCCACATTTGGCTAACTAGTCTCCTTCCCTGGGGTTTTAAAACTGACAGTGAGAAAGAATGGGTGTGCACCACCATATGGAACTGGAAGAGAGAAACCACAGAAGAGAGGCTGAGTCAATGGAAGGAAGGTATTCCAATATCCTGGGAGGGCATCTCTTTCCTCATCTCCTTCCCTATTGTCCTAGAGCTTCTAACGCAAAGTCCTTCATTTTGCTAAATGTTGTTCTAATTAAGCACTTTCTTTTGCCACCAATTCTGTCCTAATTATCACAGTGAGGTTAGACAGCATGCTGCCAATAAAAACAAACTACATGCACAACCAATATGATTTCTGCCTCTCAGTCAAGATGGCACCACCATGTATCTATCAGTACCGCAACCATAGCGTGTGACTTACAGAGTCTTCCGGCGTTATATGGTGTTGCAGGGAGCTCTTTCCTTCAGTACTTTAAATGTGAGGACAGGGAGAGAATTTTTGGTGGTTGTCAAAGATGTCTTAAAGTAGTCTACATTTCTTTCTCCAAGACTCATCTTTTGTGTATGCTCCCAGACAGTCATCCAAAGCATTTATATTAATTGCCCTCCTACCTGTAAAGTAGGAAAACTCAGCAACCTTTTATGTTCATTTTTATCCTAGACATTTTCTATCTGGCGGTAGATATGTGGATATCACATTATATTTTTAGTTCTCATTTTCCTAATTACGAAGAAACTTGTGCAGTATTTTAAGATCTAGAAAAAAAATTATGGATATCCAGGCAGTGGTGGCGCACACCTTTAATCTCAGCACCTGGGAGACAGAGGCAGGTGGATCTCTGTGAGTTTGAGGCCAGCCTGGCCTACAAAGCTAGTTCCAGCATAGGCTCCAAAGAGCTACACAGATAAACCCTGTCTTGAAAACAAAACAAAACAAAAAAAGTTTATAGGTATGTGCATACATACGTGTATCTGTGTGTGTGTGTGGTTTGTCTGTGTATGTACATGTGCACATGCATGCCGTACCTGCAGAAGCCAGAAGAGGGCATCGGATCCCCTGTAGCTGAAGTTACAGGGGGTTGTTGAACTGCCTTATGTGGGTTTGGGGTACTGAGCTCAGGTCCTCTGGAAGAGCAACAGGCATTCTTGACCTCTAAGCCACAGGCTGAGGTCATGAGGATTTGTCATTATGAGGACACAGGACATATGGGAGATGCATGTCCTCCAAACAGCTAAAGCAAACTGGCAGATGGCAGATGGCAGCTGACTCAGTGCACAGGGAAAGAAAGGGATGAGCAAAAGCTGAACCTAAGATATGAGCTGCAGCCACAGTAAGCAATAGATGCTATACTCCAAATAAGGGAGCGGGGGTTCTATTAATTGATTTTCTGTTACTATAACAAAATATCTGGGGCTGGCTAATATATAAAGACAGGCTAAGTAAGCTTATGGCTTTAGAGGCTGAAAGCCTGAGTCTGGGTGGTCTTATCAGTCTTGCTTCTGGTGAGGCATCCTGGTAGATGGCATCATGGCAAGCTTATGTATGAGAGGGGCACACACGGTGGGTCAGGAAGCCAGTACCTCACAGGGGATAGGCTTCCTTCCTTCCTTCCTTCCTTCCTTCCTTCCTTCCTTCCTTCCTTCCTTC